GAGGCAGCTACAGTTGTAGCCACAGCTGCCCTGGGGCAGACTGACAGAAGCGAGGCTGCCATATTGCACCATTGGCCCCTCTGGTCAACACCAGCAGGGGGTAGGTGTCTTGCCCAAGGACACAACGACCAAGACTGTCCAAGCTGGGGCTCGAACCGGCAACCTTCTGATTACAAGACGAACTGCCAACTCTTGAGGCACGATCGCCCTGATATGCTATTACACCTGTATAAGACAAGTTATAAGTTACAAGTTATGGTGATGGCATAGTCCACTGTTCGGATACATTCTTGACTTGAATACCTGGTCTACAAGAGGGACTGTGCCCTACTGGACCAGAAACCGATGGCTCTCAAAAGGTTTCCACCTGGCTGTGTCTGAACCAAGTTAACAAGCCAGCATCTAGAGTTGGACAACCATGATTCAGCTCTTCCAGACCACAGAATCAATGCTACACCCTAAGACCCCAACGACCGAAACCACAAGCAGATGTGCTTGATTTGCACTGTTTTTATTTTTTAAAAACAAAAATGATTTTGCACACTAGTATTCAATCAGAAGTGGCCTGAATGTGAGTATTTTGTGCTGTAGTACATTACTCCCATTTGCAGATTAAAAAACTATGTATTTTGTTGTTTGATATAATACTTTCCTTTGATGGAATGAAAACAGCAATGTTCACTGGCATGCTACTAGAAATAAACTGTATCCAATGCCCTGGATAGTTTTGTTATTAATTTAATCATAATTTGGCCCTTTATTTGATTTTTTCAACTGTATTATCTAATGTACTTGTATTTGCATGACATTTCATACTTTTACCAAGTGACATCTCAACCATTTGGTGGAGATCAATATTTTAAAAACTACAGGGTCTATTGAAAAAAAAAAGATTGTGGTTATTGCTCACCGAAATCAATAAGAAATGCAAACAAAAACAATTTCCATTGCTTTTTTCTTGGTGTGGACCTCAAAGGGTTAATTCAGTGGAGCACTGGGTAGTCCCGTTATCCTGTAGCTTACTCACAATAAGTTAATTTGCATACTTTGAGACAATCCTGTTTTCTTACCCGCTCTGACACATTTGTGTATGGTATAACAATAATATTGAAGAGAGTGCGAATCCCCGTAGGATGGCAGTCAAGGAGCAGATCTGATCTCCACAGTGGGGATAAGGTTCATTTACCCAAATTCAAAAAGTCAAGAATTCACCCTACAATATATTTTTAAATCAAATTGTTCTAAACGCCTCCTGATTAAAATATGAAACTGACTTATGTTGAAGAGTAAAGAAAAACTAGCAAACTTTAATAGAGTATGAGACACTTTTTGAGATGTTGAGAATTAGGTTCAGCAAGTTTACTCTGGCATTTCCAGGCCCGAGATTAACCCAACTTAAAGTGCCAAAAACTGCAGTTCGAATTGTTCATAACTGGCAATAGACAACTTAGACACCATTTCTACCCCCACCCTCGTCTGGACCACTTCCCATTTTAAAACAGCCCATTGTTTTGTTTTCAGAGCTGATTTCCGGAGCTCTCCAGTAAGTGAATGTTGTTCGCTCCTGTGTTTCCGTCTAACCTTCACTTTCTATCAATCTCCCTCGGACCTTTTGCCCTTTATCAGACAATAGGACACAGTTATCTCTTCCCTGTTAGAGTAACACCTATTGTTTCAAAGATATGCTGCTAGTAGCTACCAGAGAAAACAAGAGTGCTATCATCCTTCTGTTTGGTTGTACGAGTAAGCTTTCCCAGGAGAGTTTGTATCCAGTGATGCACAGAACTGCATAAAAAAGCCTTATAGACAACTGACAGTACACCAGTAGTGTTATTATTCTATTGCTGCCACATTCTGCAATAAAATTTTATTTTATAAATGTACAACTAATGAAACAGACTTGTCTGTTGCCTCTTTGTTTCAGACCCTGTGTTGGTAATGTGAGTTTCTCCAAAGGGTCCTTGGACTTGGGGAAAGTTCCTGCAGTGCAAATGTGGCTTTTACAGTTTCAGTCAGTAGTGGTTTGGTGAGGCTGCACTTTGGTAGAGTCAGGCTTTAGCTAAATGCTAAAATACTCATGACACTGCAGCTCTTATTATGGTATCGGTTCAGTAGATATTTGATGATAAAGGTATTTTGACTAAGTAGCAGTTTCACCTGATGATCACACTAGAGCATTGGTTCTCAAACTGTGGGGTAGTCCCTGCTGACAAGCCACAGTGACACTGCAGCTGGAACATGGACAGCCAGGTGAAAATATTTTTAAATAAACGTCAATGTGGGGGTCTGAGTCATCCATGTTTTAAGCACTGAAGTTGAAGGAAACTGGGCTTGTTTTTAGGTTTATGAAGGACTTTGACCTCTATACGTCTGAATAAACCTATCAGATGAGAGCTGAAACATCTACAAGAACCTTAAAAGAAGTTTAGCTGCCTACTGTAATTCATTATTATCAGGATGTCCAAAAAACTCACTGAAAAGCCTTCAGCTAATCCAAAATGCTGCAGCAAGAGTACTGACAGGGACTAGAAAGAGAGAGCATATTTCTCCTGTTTTGGCTTCCCTTCATTGG